TATTGAAAATTATGCCCTTATGGTCTTGGAGTGAAAGAGAGTTACCAATGAATCATATGGCCTGGTGCTAGCCCATTCAGGGAGGGAGTTGTCACCCTTCCCGGGCTAGCCAATTATGTAATGCAGTGTTTCCCAAACTTGGGACGCAGCTTGTGTAGGGAAAGCCCCTGTTGGGCCGGGCCGGTTTGTTTACCTATCCTGTCCGCAGGTTTGGCTGATCGTGGCTCCCACTGGCTGCGATTCGCCACTCCAGGCCAATGGGAGCTGCTGGAAGTGGCGCGGGCCGAGGGAAATACTGGCCGCCGCTTCCAGTAGTTCCCATTGGCCTGGAGCAGCGAACCGCGGCCAGTGGGAGCTGCGATTGGCCGAACCTGCGGACGGGGCAGGTAAACAAACCGGCCTGGCCCTGCCAGGGGCTTTCCCTACACAAGTGGCACCCCAAGTTTGGGAAACACTGATGTAATGTATTGCTCAATTGTCTATCTTTGCACCAACCCAGAAAAGTTAATGGAGAACCATCAAAGACAAATTATAAACATCGAAACCACTTGGAAATGAAAAGGAATGGTAGGACAGTGAAGAGATAGCCCTATCTGTGAATAGAGAAAGACTGAGGGTACGTCAACCCTACCCGCCGGATTGGCGGGCAGTGATCGATCCCCGATCGTTCTGCCGTTGACTTCGGAACTCTACCACGGCAAGAGGTGGAAGCGGAGTCGACGTGGGAGTGGCGGCCGTTGATCCCGCGCCGCGAGGACGCAAAGTAAGTGATTCTAAGTCGATCCAAGATACGTCGACTTCAGCTACGCTATTCTCGTAGCGGAAATTGCGTATCTTAGATCGACCCCCCCACCCAGTGTAGACCAGGCCTGATTCAGTATATTCAGGTTGGCGAAAGACACTCTGCTTCCATTCACTGAGGAAGTACCTTGATGAGCAGGGGATTCTTCATGAAAGAATGGGTCCTAACTCCTTAGTGTAGGTAAGCGCTGCTAAAAATTGAACTGTGGGGTGAGAATCTACTTTAGTAGATAGGAAAGGTAACTATTAATAAGTGTAAGCCCCAGTCTGCATTCTATGATTTTTTGTATGTAAACTTTTGTTTCCATCACTTACACTAGTTTCTATTTGAATCTCTATTCTTTCTTAAATAAATTTCCTTTTGTTTTACATAATTGAACTCAAATTCTGCATGTGATACAGGAGACATAAAACTGGGGTACACTGTTCCTTTGGGAATGGAGGATCTGGGATTTCTGTTGGTATTCAGTGATCAGGGGCTGGACACCCTGGGGGGAAACTTTGAAGAGGCTCAATGGTGGGTCTAGCTATTGTCACCCTGCGGGCAAAAGCAGGGCTGGTATACCTCAGAAGAGAGTGCCTGAGTGGTTGACAGGCTGGTTGTGTTAGGGAGTTAACACCCAGTTGACACAGGCGAGACTCCCTCGTGCTGGTGGCAGATGCAACAAGGTGACTCTCAGCGCTGGATGCCTGGAGAAGCATTACAGGCGAACTCTTGAGAAGTGCACAACATCTTGTGAAGAACTATAGCCCTTATTTGCATAAATGGATATTATAGCAACTTAGCACTCCTCAGTATTTACTTAAGTGTGAGTTTTCCTGAGCAAGGACAGAGTAGAAAATAATTAAAATAGTGAAAAGACTACCAGGATTTGGCCCATTCAATGTATAAATTACCGCTGGGTAGAAAATGTGTTGACATTGGTTGGATAAGAAAAGAAATGAGTGATATACTCATTACTGTCTGCCTGTTGTGTGGGGAATGCAAGCTATAACCTCATTTTGTTCAGTAAGGGAATGACTGATGGTGGGGAGTGGGCAGAGGAGCTTCCTTGTAACCTTTACTCCAGTACTTAAAGTACTCTCCTGGGAGGTCGGAGACCTTGGTTCAGTTTGCCCCTCAGCCTGATGATGATGTATTTAGACAGGTGTTTCCCATCTCTGTGGTGAATGTCCTAACCAGTAGACTACAATGTCATTCCTACTCTCTGTATGGCCCAATACATATTTAATTTATTTATACAAAGTAGAATGGCTTCAACAGGAGAGACTGCAAAACCCCCCCATCAGAATATTCTTTAGACCAGTGGTGAAGATATTTAACTGAGCGGTGGTGATTTAATATTCAACTCCCTTTTCCTCATCGGGGGCAGAGGGATGAATTGAACCAGGGTCTCCCACAACCCTGGTGAGTGCCTTAACCACTGGGTTAAAAGTTAGAAGGGAGATCCTCCCCCCAGCCACATTGTGAGGACTTAAGCATGCTCTGAGAGCACATACCAGGTTGGCCCTGTAGGTGACATAGGTGTGGCAACACCTATCTCCACCTGGTTAGTGTGGACATAATAGACTTCTGTAAGGCAGATGACTTGGTACCAGAACACATTTTTGATTTAAAAACTAGAACAACATAAAATTAACATGGCACATATTAAATGGATTAAAAACTGGCTAACTGATTGGTATCAAAAGGTCATTGTAAATGGCGAATCATTATTGACAGAGTCTGTTTCCAACGGTGTCACGCCAGGATCAGTTCTTGGCCCTATGCTTTTTAACATTTGTAACAATAACCTGGAAGAAAATATAAAATCTTCACTGATAAAGTTTGCAGATGACACAAAAATCGGGGGAGTGGTAAATAATGAAAAGGACAGGTCACTAGTACACTGTCATCTGAATTGTTTGGTAAAGTAGGCAAACAATGTGAGTTTTAGTATGTCTGAATATAAAAGTATACATCTAGGAACAAAGAATATAGGTCATACTTACACGATGGGGGGCTCTATCCTCAGAAGCAGCGACTCTGAAAAAAGATTTGTGGGTTGTGGTTGGTAATTAGCTGAACATGATCTTCCAGTGTGACACTATGGCCAAAAGAACTAATGTGATCCTGTGATGCATAAACAGGCCACCACTTCCCGCAGCTCTCATTGGCCGGGAATGGCGAACCACGGCCACTGGGAGCTGCGAGCAGCCGTACCTGCGGACGCTCAGGTAAACAAAGCATCTTGCGGCCTGCCAGGGACTTACCCTAAACAAGCCGCAAAACAAGTTTGGGAACCCCTGCCTTACAGTGATGGACTCAAAGCGCTCAATCTATTTAGCTTACCAAAGAGAAGGTTATAGAATGACTTGATTACAGTCTATAAGTATCTACATGGGAAACAAATATTTAATAAAAGGCTCTTCAGTGTATCAGAGAAAGGTATAACATGATCCAATGGCTGGAATTTGAAGCTAGACAAATTCAGACTGGAAATAAGGTGTGGAGTTTTGATGGTAAGGGTAATTAACCATTGGAACAATTTACCAAAGGTCATGGTGCATTCTCCATCGCTGACCATTTTTAAGTCAAGAGTGGATGTTTTTCTAACAAATATGCTCTAGGAATTATTTTGTGGAAGTTCTATGGCTGGTGTTATACAGGAGGTCAGACTAGATGATCACAATGGTTCCTTCAGGCCTTGGAATTTATGAATCCTGCAAGGTCTTAAGCAAGACAGAGGTGTCTGAATGCCTGCCTAAGGCAGTAGTGCTCATGCCTAGAGGCAGAAACTTTTACAGTGAAAATTTAAGCACTAAGGTATTTTAAGCACCTACAGGATTAGGTGGCAGCTGAGCAGGGTGTTACAGTTCAGGGCAAATGCACCTGTATTTCCCATCAGTGATCCAGCAAAAGCACCTACTCTCAGGCATCCACCTCCCCTGTCGCCTCCCTTGGGTGAGATACGTCTCTTTTCCTTGTGATGGGGGGTAATTCCAGTCTGCACAGTTTCCTGCCTTCACTATGGACTTCTTAACACAGACATGTTGCCCAAGGACACGTACTTGGATTTTCTTCAGAGATGAATATAATTGCTACAGTTATATAAGTATCACATAGACTTCCTATGCAAGCCTACTTTATTCTTAAGGTAAAAAGAATTACAGAAAAAACATTAAAAGCAAAACAACCCCCCTCTTACACACAGGTTAATAAGCTTACCAGAATTAACCCCAACCCTAACGTGGATTCTGGCAGGTCCAGTCCTTCCAATCAAACCCTAAGGATTATGTCCTTCCATGGGCCGGAGAGCGTGTCCATTTGCTGGATGAGGAAGAAGAGCCTGAGCCAGTTTAAACGCAGGCTGTTTATCTAAAAAAATCCTTGCTTTATCTGTTGGTCCCTGGAGAATTCAGTTTTAACTAATATAAACATACCTTTCCAATGGGGTGGGATGTAACAACCTGAATGAATTTGCCTAATCATCACCTGCTGTTCTCCTATTTACTCTTCCCATAGAAATACATACAATTTCACAACAACACCTACACAACTGCATTTTTAATACAATGAACCCCAATGGTATTAACATAATTCAATAAAGTTAATTCAGGATATTGCAGGAAATGGTCAGTATGTCAAACAGGAGGTTTGAGACACTCACTGGTTAGGCCCCTAAGACCTTTTGTGAAATGGCATCTAAGTGAGTTACCAAAAGTTACATAGGAAGTTTGTAAAAGAAATAGGAAATTAATCCAGATTTTTGGCAGTCCCAGCTATTGATTTGATCATAAGACCATCCGCTTTCCTTCCAGAGCCTTCTTTCTTTCAGAGAAGACCTAGTCCTTGGGGACCAGCTTTATGTGTCCTGATCTTCATCTTCCTTTGGTGTCAGCAAACCAGCCCTTTTCTATCTTTCCCTGCTCTTCTCTACTCTTCAGTTGTTGTTTCTTGTATTTGTTTAACCATTAAAATGGTTTGCTACCTTAGCCGCCTCTCACCAGTGGAAAGTGAGGCTATCAATGCCAGCCTTCCATGAGGACAGAAAAGACTGAACTAGAGGTGGAAAGGATATTTACACTAAAAACAACAAACCAGTAGCTTAGCAGTTTCCCTATTCTCCTCAATGGGAAGCTGCAATGCTGAATTATTGCCACCAAGTGGTGCTCTGTGAGGCTATAAATTAGCAGCAAGCTGACCCTCATTCACATGACTCAAAGATGGTGTCTACTAATAAAGTACTAACAGCTCCTCTTGAATCCAACAGAAACTCACAACAGATAAAAACCAAACAAAAAATCTCCTATAAGGTAAGAGTGCTGGGGTTTCTTTCATAGCTTAAGAGGGAGGAAGCAATTGGTTTCTCCTTGTATGTCATTGCCTTATAGGTTAAAAACAGCTTTCAGTGAAAGTTTTTAATGAAATTGGGATTCTGTTCTCTGTTACCTCTTTCATAGCTCTTTTAGTTTCTCTTTCTCTTATTCTCAGTGGTGGGAAGCTTTATCACAGCTCTCTCGCTGAGGATTGTATTCTACACTTGCATGGGTGTGGACTCTGTAATCAGTATGGGCTTTCCCATCTATCATATATATTTTCCTAAATGGGGGAATGTCAAAACACAAGATAACATAGTGTCAGTTGTGCAGCAGCACAGGGGCAATGAACAAACACCACACAATTTGCATGTCATGAGTGATGTAAGCATGTAAGAGATATCATTAACAGCAGTATGAAATTAGAGGATTTACACCGGTAAAGATGCTAGGTGTTATCCCAATGTCATGTTTTCTACAAAATACTTTCTTTCATTTTAATACAGGAAAATCTTGTTAAATTATATTTCTTTACAAAGTTTGCCTCTAAACAAGTTTATTCAATTTACAAGTGTTGGTTTCAAAGTATTCTACATTTTGTCCCGTATATTTTGGTTGGACATACAGAAAGTTCTGGTTTTTCCCTTTCATATGCATTCTTCTTTGTCAGCTTAGTTATTGTGAAGCAGTCTGCAGATTGGCTTGTTTTCTGTGTTCAGTGTGCATCTAAAATCATGTTGTAGTTGTATATGAGTGTCCCATATATAACATTAATGTATTGTGTTTTACATGAGCTACTTTTGAAGACCACTCAGTGCTTTCTGCCCAATTACTTAGTAGAGCTTGCCATGCTGAACATATTACTCCTGTGTTCTGTGACTGGCCTGGCTTGTTTCTGTGTGCACTTCATGGTGTTGCCTTTGAGCTATTGATCTAGAGCCAGATGATTCCTGTCCGCCTTTGAAAATTGTTTTTCTTTCTATACACTTTTAAAACAGCGGGGCCACTCTACCAAAACCCAGATTTAAACTCTAGAAGCAGGGTATTCTCAGTTAAAGGTCCACATTTCTGACCAACAGAAGTTGTTATCCTTCTGCCTCATCATATGCAAAGCCCATCAATTTGCTTAGGCTTTTGTCTGAGATGAGTGCCAGAATAAGGCAAATCTTACTATTTTCAGAGTGAAGTTTTCATTTGAGTTGACATATGTTAAATAATAATGTTTTAAAAATGTTAGTCATTGTCTCCCCTATAGATCTTGGGTGAAATGTTGGTCCCATTGAAGTTCATTGCAATTTTGCCATTGACTTTAGCGGGGTCAAGATTTCACACTTTATCTCCCCATTATATGTCTCCAAAACTCTTCTGGTTACTTTCACATGTTACATTAATGACATTTCTTGTGTTTCACTGCTGTACTTACTTGCTTATCTCCTTGACAGCTGCCTTGCTGAAGCACCCAGGACATATGTCACTGCACTCCAGTGTGGTAATGATGTCAAACCTATGCTCTCCCAGCTTACTGTACAGCTATCCTGTCATAATTAGCTTTAAGCATCTAAGATATACTGTAGATTAAATACCAGATTCCACTTTGTCTAAACTCTCTAATTTTTCAGTTCTCCCATTTATTTTACTTTATTAGTTCTGATTTTTTTCCAAATAGTAACCAAAATATAAATTCTTCCTGAAATAGGGTTGAGGTTACCTAGTGCAAAACACAGCAAAAAAAATAAATACTTGATTGGACATTTTTCCTTTTTAGTGTTTGGTGTAGATTGTGCTCTCATCACAAAGTTCTCATTTCACCACATCCCAGCAACTTATATTCTTCCACTTCTTCTCTTGAATATACCAGTACAAAATACAACATTCAAACAGTAGGGCACAAAATTACTGGGTTTAGCAAACAATCAGCCAGAGAGACATAAGGCTGTGTATTTACTTTAAACCTATTTCCATTATTTCTGCACTTCCTTCCAACAGTAATAAAATGTGTTCACTAGGCTTTTTGTATGCAATAGGAATTTTAATTTACACTGGAGGAAGAACTAGTTCATAACTCAGTAGAACTGACTGGGTTCATAAGTTATTTAGTTCTGCTTCTTGTGATAAAATCTGGATGCAGAACTATTTATTATATTTTTCTCTCTGCCCTCTGAGCCCTGTAAGTTCACTCAGAGCTAAACAATTAAAGTGGCAAATTGATTTGTTTACAATGCAAATCCTTGCTAAATTGGAAAAGATATGCAAAAGGCATAAGCAATTACATGTTTCATAGTATAGGTAAGACTGAAATGAAATGGGCTTAGCTGCTCATAATGCAGGGATGCTGTACAGTTACTAACTCAGAACTACATGATAGTTTTCAGTGGCTGTAAAGAATCCAAATCTCTGTACTATGATTCAATACTGTCCTCAGAACACTTTGTTCATATGCCCACAGAAAGCACATCTGCCTCATCTTCTTATATTTCCTCTTAATAGTCAACCCTGAATGAGGAGAAGAACTTTTTTATATATGTTTAATTTTACAGGTTCAAAAGTGGCCTGTGTCTGAGATGTTATCAGAACGTGTGTTTGAAGTTTGCGGGGAGTGTGTTGGTTTAACTCAGTGGTTCTCAAACTTTTGTATTGGTGACCCCATTCACATATCAAGCCTCTGAGTGCGACCCCCCCTTACACAGTAAAAACACTTTTAAAATATATTTAATACCATTATAAATGCTGGAGACAAAGCAGGGTTTGAGGTGGAGGCTAACAGCTCGTTGACCCCCCATGTAATAATCTCGTGACCCCCTGACGGGTCCTGACCCCCAGTTTGAGAACCCCTGGTTTAACTGGAGGAACCCAAATGTGAGGACAAGGGAAATTTTTCAAACATTACCCCAGCAAAAGTCAGTAAAGCTCTTATTGTGAAAACATACATGAAGAATTTCATTTTCCTCTAAAGGTTTATTGTGCCAAATCAAAGACTAAATTCAGTTGTTAAAGTGTGAAACATCACTACATTGTGTCCCCTTTATGCTAGGTCTGGCTCTTAGGGAATTCTCCAGTCTAGGGGGACCTCATGGTGGAGAACCATGCAATGGCTCTATATCATCCCACTACAGGAGGCTTATTGAAGGTGTTCCCTGAAGCATGGGGAAGTGGCTGAAGGGCTACTGTATACAGTCTATTCCTGGATGGTGCAACAGGCCCATAGGTAGGTGCAAGTTGGAGCAGCTCTCAGGTTCTTCTTACTTGCATCAGGTATAGAAGCAGCTCTTGGCTTGTCCATTATAGGGAAAGCATTGAAGTGGCAGAAAGCTCAGCTCCGGCACAGGCATGAATTGGGTCAAAGGACTTAACTTTTTAGTTTATATTTGCAATCTTAAATGTGGAGTCACTGCTGATGCCTCCATAATAAGTACATTTTTCTTCCCAAAGCACACTTAAACTGATACACAAACTCATAAAGGGATAGTTTCACTCCCCTCTCAAATGCAGCTACTTCTGAGGTGAAATATGGCTGTGGAACACCACACACAATATAACATTAGTCTCTTTTATACAAGAGGAAGAAAAGGAGTATCTAAAACTTATTAAAACTATAATAATTGCAGTAAGCAGAATATATTTACGTGTTGGGGTGTGGTCAGAAACTGAGAATTACATCTCTGTTCTTAAAAAGTAACAATTTTTAATTACCCCAACATCTCATACAATGGACAGCACTGTCATGCTCCCTTGCACCATGTTAAGGAATTATTTATTATTACTATATTATAGCACCCAATGTGTGCTAGGCATCTCACAGAAGACCTCTGTTTTAACTAGATTGTATTAGTTTAGTATAGTATCAGAAGGAAGGGTCTTACCTACTTACCTTTTCCTATAATATCTATGCAGTTGTTGGAGGTTTTGCAACCACTTATTGATCCAGTCCTATTTTAGTCTACAAAATTTGACAGACTTTAAATGTACCCATAGGATTTATAATTCAAGTAACCATAAAAAAAGACAAAATCACTTTCATGATGTTGGGGCTCCGAGGCTGGGAGCGGAGCTGTGCGGAGGCTGAGGAGTGGGGGTAGAGCCAGCCCCGGGGCCAGGAGCCGGGGACATGGCTGCTGAGGGACTGGAGCAGAGCTGGGGGTGGGGAGGGGCTGGGTGGCGCTCCCTCCATGCCCCCCCTGGGGGCTGACCTGAGTCCACTGTGCCCCGCCCCCCCAGACATTCATCCATGCCCACCCGGGGGGTGCCCCACACTTTGAGAACTTCTGATCTAAACCTATGACTGTATTATGTATTAGGTTGAGCTGATGGAGAGCTTTCAAATTCAGCTCACATCAGTAGATAAGAAAATTTCAGTTTTATCTATGAACTATTCAAAGGATATGTGCCATTGTTTTTTCAGTGATTGAGGGTAAACATTAAGAAATAATGCATAGTCACTGAGTCACCTGACTGTTTGAAGGTTTAATTTGAAAGTGGCTTCAAATGCAGGATGGGTTCCAATAATTAATCTTGAATGAAATATCTATGAGAGATAGACTCCATTTTCACAAAGCTCTTTCTAGCTATTTGTATGGCCCCCATTGCATTAGAATGAGAAATTTGAATTTATCTTCACAACAAGACTGTGAGGTAGGAAAGTATTGATATTAATTATTGCTGCACCAAGCAGCTGCCACAGAGGTGTTAAATAGCAAGGAGGGGCCAGGACAATAACAAAATAATCTGTGCTGCAGAGGGCCTGGGCAAACACAGATGGACCACGGTCTACAGGAGCTTGTGCTTTTCTTACAGATCTTGACTGACTAGAGTAACTGGACATGCCTGTCACTATTCTGTACCAGGACTGCCACTGCCTTTGTGAAGGGACAGTGAAGTGAAATGATGGCCCAACTAGCGGGTCTGTACTTCTGTTCTGTAGTTCTATGTATGTAGGGAACCAAACTATGAATAAAATTTCTTCATTTTGTGTCCATGTGCTGCTGGAAAGATTCTTTCCA